GCCACTGGCGGGCCTGGCGGACCTCCGGCCGGCGGGATCCTGACAGTGGCTGTGGAGCACCTGGCAGGGCAAGGGCCATTTCTCTCTGAAGAGCGAGGCCTGTACCTGGACAGTGCAGTGCAGCCATTTCCTACCTGGGAACTGGGAGCAGGCAGGCTCAGAGTGATCCGGGACAGCGGGGTGGCAGCACAGCCCCTCGCCCACCTGGTGTGGGCCAGAAGGCCCTGCCCTGCCAGCCCAGCTGCCGCGGGCTCCCTGGGAAGGGCAGCGTGGCCACGCCCCTGCCCAGTGACCTCAAGGCTTGGCCTACTCCTCATCCTTGCTCTGGAGGGCCACAGGGTGGTGGGAAGTGGATTCAGGCCAGCGGCAGGCTAGACCCTGCGGTGGTGGGTGGCACCAGTGTCCCTGAGGGTCTCTGCCTTCAGCTCTGTGGGCCTTGAGGGCCGTGGCTTGCTGGGAATAGCAGAACCCACCCTGCCCCACAGCTCCATGAGCACATCGGGCTGCAGCTGGGGGTCCTGAGAGAAGGAGCGAGACTCCAGCCCATCCCTGCCCCCTCAGCTGCTGGCTGAGGATGAGGCAGAGCCTGGGGCAGGAGGGAGCCTGGTGAACACCCCGAGCTGACCCAGCCCTTCTGGGGAGCCAGTGGGAGGTGCTGGGAGCACCGAGGGGGCCCGAGGCCAGTGTGGAGGGGGCCTGGGCTGAGGGCCTGCCTATCTTTTCCCCTGCAGGGAGGCCAGGCCCAGGGGCCCGAGTGGAACGCCGCACAGCAGGCCTTGCAGGAGGCTGTGAGACAGGAGCTGGCGGCCCTGCAGCTGTCCTGGGAGCAAGACTGGGGCCCGGACCCGCCTCACGGGCCTCACCGGCTGGTGAGAAGCAAGGATAGGGCACCAGCAGGACGTGGCCTGCAGGCGGCCCAGGTGATTGGGGTGCTGAGGAGCCGGGAGGCCTTCCTGGAGGCAGCACTGCGCCGGCTACAGGGACAATGTCAGCAGGAGCTAGTCAGGCTGGTGGGAGCCCTGCCTGGCCTCATCTGGATCCCGCCACCAGCACGCTGATGGCCTGTGGGTGTGCCTGTGTGGGAGTCTGCACCAGCCTGGCCTGGCCCCAGGAACTGCTTCAGGGCGGCTGCAGGGATGCAGTGCAGAACTCTGGGACATGCAGTGCCCCGCAGGGACACAGCACAGGGGCTGGGGCTTCCTGACTGACCGGAGGCCAGCCTCGGCCAGTGGGCCCAGGCTGATCCCCAAGGAGGCTGCGACAGGCCTGGGTTGGTGAGTGTGTTCTGCATCATGAATAAGCTGGGGGCTCCCCTCTGCCTCCCGGGTCTGTCCATGATGGGGGCTCTGGGCAGACAGGACAGGCCCGTGGCACAGGAGAAGCACGTGTCCGCAGCACAGGGGAGTGTCCAGGCCTAGAGGGGCAGCCATGGAGGCCCAGGGCACCCCAGGCCCCACCAGGCCCTAGACCAGGCTGCAAGCAGAGCACAGCCTCTGTCCTATGTTACCACAGACGTGTGTGTTTGCATGCATGTGTATGCCGTGTGTGTGCATGTGTGATGGGAGCCCAGGCTCTGCTGCTTCCCCAGGGCGGTGCCTGGCTGTGGGGGAGGCCACACGAGGACAGAGGGGCCTTGTTCCAGAGGCTGCTTGGCCGGCCCGGCTCAGCTTTGACAAAGAGGCTTCTATGTGGGGCCGTGTGCGGATCGGCTGGGCTCGCAGAGCAGCCTGTCCCCACCCCTGCACCCCTACTGGAGGGACACAGCCTCCAGCCTGGCCTCCCTCGCCTGCTCCCCTCTTTTCCCAGGGCCATTGAGCTCTAACTGGGTGCTGGGCAGACCCCAGGCTGGGGCCACCACAGCCTCCTGCAGCTTAGGACCGAGGCCACTTTGGTGACTAGGGCCGCCCCGGCTCAGCTTTGACAAAGAGGCTTCTATGGGGGGCCGTGTGCGGATCGGCTGGGCTCGCAGAGCAGCCTGTCCCCACCCCTGCACCCCTACTGGAGGGACACAGCCTCCAGCCTGGCCTCCCTCGCCTGCTCCCCTCTTTTCCCAGGGCCATTGAGCTCTAACTGGGTGCTGGGCAGACCCCAGGCTGGGGCCACCACAGCCTCCTGCAGCTTAGGACCGAGGCCACTTTGGTGACTATGGGGCTCTGCTGGCTGAAGCCCAGGCCTGCCTTTGGAGAGCCCGTCCCCAACCCTTGCAGGGCTGGCCCAGGGACACTCCACTCCGCCTTCCCCCTTCAGGAGGACCAGGGCGCCTTGACTACCCACTCGTGTGTTTGAAGCCACCGTGAGGCCCCTGTGCTGGAATGCTCACGCCGCTCCCGCCGGGAGCCTGGCTTCTAGGAGCCCAGTACTGCTCGGCATCTGGGGCCGTCAGGGTCCGCATTCAGGGTGCTCGGTGAAGTGCAGCCTTCATGCCGTGTGTGTGGTGGGCCTCTGGCCTCGGTGGCGGTGCCGGCAGCTGGTGACCAAGAAAGGTGGTGGAACAAGGCTGGCGTGAGGGACGCGGGACGGACCAGGGTGGTGTGGAGACCGCTGTGCCAAAGGGAGGTAGGGATGGGCCTCGGGTCCAGCGGCCACTGGCTGTGCCGGCCCCTCAGACAGCCTGGATTTAGGGCTCCCTGTGCTGTGGTCATGTCTTTCCCGGCCGGGGGGGACATCCGAACAGGTTTCCTGAGTGAAGGAGTGAGAGCCGGG